ATATAAACATAATTTTTTATATACAGGAGACCTTTGATGCCCAACACTGAAAATACGTTAAAATGGTTAAAAAAGTTTTTTTTTTTTTGCAAGGTAAGTTTGAAATTAAAATATGAGTCAAATATGACTCCTAATATCCTGCCTATAGTTTCCAGTGACTGGAATCAGGAGTCTCTCTCTTGGAAGTTTTGCTTTATTTGGACACTATGTGGACCCTATGTTTAAATACACCACCAGTCTCCTGCTCCACTCCCCCTTTTACCGACGAAGTAAAATTAACCGAGCTGCACTCAAACTCACCGCAGTTATGCAATAAGCAAAGGAAGGAAGGAAGGAGTGTCCCAGCTGAGGTAGCATACGTGAATGAGAGGACTAGACAACATGTTACAAAGCCATCAGAATTGAGTCAAGGTCTTGTTCTAAATTTTAACAAAACTGAGAGAAATTTTCTCGTTCTTATCCCGTTAAAAACGAAGAAGACGTCAGTAATTATAAACCAACATCCAGAGTCAGGTGTTGCATTTAATGACATTAGGATAATGTTAGTGTTCCATACTTTGAGGTGTCCTTATAGAAAAAATATCGTCTATGTGGCTTTTTTAGAAAGTCGTATTAAATAATTTTTAAAAATTTCATGGATGAATTCCAAGCTATTTGTTGTTTAAATAAAATGTTTGTTAAATTAAACAACTTTAAAATAATGTTATGAATCATAATTAATTTGTCACTTTATGAAATGTTTATTGTTTTAGGATGTGCCAGAGGTGTAAAATTTGAGAAGGAACAAAAACAAAACCTTTTTTTTATTTAAAAACACAAAACAAACATTTATTAAACGCTGCAAATGTCTTTTTGTTTGTTGAGTGATGTTTAGTTTTATTGCTGTGAAATAATGTATTTCTAGAGATAGTTATCTTGTTTTGAATTGTTTATATGGTGAACATCCTTGGAAACAACACATGTGCATGTGAAAGAAAGATGATATAATACTCCTAATGCCGATAGACTTGAACGCATCACCATGTCCGGACAGATGTCGTCAACTCTGCGCTCTGTCGGGAGCACGGATCTAAAAATCTGAACACTTGGACATGACTGGCACTAATGACCAAATTGGATATTTATTTTTACTAAAAATGTGCCGACAACAGTCCAACAGGACGCGTCTACTTGAATTTCTGTCACACTTTTGCGGCTTTTATCGTTTCTCGGACGCGCAGTAACAACGAGCTGGGTGAAAGTAAAGTTTTTTCCTCTCATTTTTCCGAAGGAGTTCCCGGTCGTTTCGTTTGGAATAAACTCCACCATGCTCGGCGGGGCGAGTATAAAATCCACCGTGTTCGGATAAAGGACAGCCCGGAGGAGTGAGACTGATTAAAGGAGTTATCGGCCTGACGCGGGTCTGAACCGAAGTTATGAAAATGACCGGAGCAATGGAAACTTCTTTTAGGCTGGCATTGATGAAGCCACCCTCGCTCCGGACCGCAGAGGTAAACAAAACGATCACCTATTTGGTTAACATTTTTTCTCGGTAATGTTAAAAATACGTAAGCTTTTGTTTCACCTTAGAGAGGGAACATTTTTACTCAATTCAACCACCTTTGACATTTGACTGAACTAAATCAACAAATATTATACGCCTGCGTTATGGCGTAAATAATCCATTTACTGTTTATTAGCAGACTCACGTGCTAATAAATAGTAGACTGTTCACAAAAATAGTTGTACAACAACAAACAAGAAGAATGTGTTTAGATTTTCTTGACAGTTTGCAAACATTTTTTGCACCACATTTTGGACAGTTCACAGTGTGTGTGTGTGTGTGTGTGTGTGTGTGTGTGTGTGTGTGTGTGTGTGTGTGTGTGTGTGTGT